ATCTGCTGGAGATCACATCTCAGCAGTGCTGAATGCCAGTACTAATGAATGTGATAGGTTTCCACATCAAGTTGTCAACTTGACAATTAAAGGCCTGGCTGACCTCACTCAGATGTAAACAGGAAATATAAGGCCATAGTGGTTTAAAGTTGCATGGGTGTAGAAATGGAGTTGAACAAGAGGCAGACATGTAGCCACGGAGGGGGGGGGGGGGGGGGGGCACATGCCCCCCAAAATTTCCAAGATCGGTTGAACTTTTTTAGACCCCTCACCAGGACGTCGATCGATCACATGTATGTGCACCCCCCCCCCCCCAAACATCAAACTCTGGCTACATGCCTGACAAGAGGTATAACCCCCCCCCCTCCTGCCTATACAGCCCTCTAGCATATATCAAGGAATTAATTCCTGCCAGGTACCCATTAACCTCACCTGGAGCGAGTGTGGCAAATGAAGATTAATGCCTTGCCAAAGGACTGTGTCAGGGATCGAACCACGACCTTTGAATTTCAAGTCAAGTGCTTAAACCATACTTCTACAAACGCACAAAAAGTTAAATTTGACTAATAATATATTTGCTGATGGGAATATTATATGAGATTTCTATGGTAGACGGGCTTAAGCAAGGATCCTAATGACAAGTCAATAAAGAACCATTGGTCTATCTAATCAGCAACCTGGGTTGTACAATTATTATTTTTGTTTTGTTTACAGCACTGCAACATGTACATATCTGATTCTGAATACATTTCAAAATGATTTTCCTCTTGTGTGAACAACCAATCATACAACCAAAGTTTGTTGTGGTTGCATTGTTTGTTTTGTGGGGGTGTTCAGTTATACTATCCTCTAGATAACCATCAAATACAAACAATTTACAGATAAAAATTCCAGATAACATCTCATTAAAGCCTCTAAGTGATTGACAACAGCATCACCCAATACGATGGGATTGTATTGGATGTCACGGAGGATTGATTGACAAGAGATAATAGCTTATTAACATGTTTCTGGTCTCCGTTTTCACTCACTCCAGAGATATAGATAATAGGCTATTAAGATACGGTTGATATCTTCTTTCAAATAAGATAAAACTGACCATAATATGCTTTGACAATGTGTATACATACAGTGCATGTAGTTAATATAACATTAAAAAGATGAACAGATAACTGGCTATAAATACACATATTCATTGTTAACATTTCTTTTTAACCAACAAAAAAGAGAGACAAAGACATGGGCCACAGCCGCCATAACTAATACTTTCACTCTCCTCAAAGATACTGACAGTATATAGTTAAATAAACAACTTAATTTGAAGTATTTCTAGGCAAATCTTCTTTCTACTGGTGGGATTTGATATACAATTTTACGGAGTAGGGGGGGGGGGGGTTCTTTCTTCTCTTAACAATATCTCCTCTGTCGTATCTGATATAAATTTCTTTTTTCAATATATAAGTATTGAAAAAATAATGATAACAACAACAACAATAATGATAGTAACAATATTGGATTTATTTAGCATTTTTTCGAGGGGATAAAAGGCACTGTTCTCCAGCCTATTAGTATTTGTAATGAATTTACAACTATCATGCACAGACAATAACCTACTACTTGAATTAAGTATAAAAGAGAGAGATAGACAGAGAGATAGACAGAGAGAGAGAGAGAGAGAGAGAGAGAAAGAAAGAGAAAGAAAGAGAAAGAGAGAGAAAGAGAGATCTAGGGGAGAGCTGTTGAGGTGAATTGAAATGTTTATAATTCAAAAAGCTTCATGACATAGTAATATCAAAATAAACACTAAAAGTCCTTCACCTTTAGCGACAAAAAAGACCCCCAAATTCTCCATGCATATCTGATAGGGTATCATGAAGCAATGTAAACAAACAAGTTTTGGAAACTTCCTTATAACAATACAACAACAAACATTTCAATAACCTAATTTATTCACATCCTCAATAATTACTGACCCATTTTCATCGCCGTCTGTATTTATTTTCATAATGGAGTATCTAAAAAAATAGTTTCAGTTCCGGTTTGGATATATTTGTTTTGTAGTGTTGATAGTGGGTGTAAATGCATTTGCCCGGAAGTGGAGGCATGTTTGCATAATTTTCAACTCTTTTCAACTCTTCCGGTGAGGAAGACTGGTCTGTCAATGTAACTTTTTGTAATACATGTGCAGGTGTTAGTTTCATCACACAAAGATATAGAAATAACCAAGAATAACATTAGTGCAGCATATTTAATTTTTAGGACTGCCATTAACACAAACCAATCAAAAGCTGTTGGTGTTTGGTCATACCAATGTTGTGGTGAGTAGTGTCCATGCCCGACTTGTTGCTACTCTCTCTCTCTCTCTCTCTCTCTCTCTCTTCCTCATCCCCCCCCCCCCCAGCCTCCTTTCTCTCTGCTCTCCGTCCCACTTTCTCTCTCCCACCCCCTCTCTCTTTCGGTCTCTTTCGGTCTCTCTCTCTCTCTGTCTCCCCACCCCCCTCCCCCCCCCCAAGCCTCCTTTCTCTCTGCTCTCCATCCCACTTTCTCTCTCTTTCCTTCTCTAAATTCATATTGTTTCAAACTCTGTATCTCTTTCTTTCTCTCAACCTGTCTTTTGAATCTAATGAGCGCTGTTAGATATTAAACTTTTTCAGTTCCTATCTAATATCATGTATTTTCTCTGCATTTCTCCGCATTCTATTCACATGCTCATTTTTCCTGTCAGTCGGTATGTCCATCCTCCGTTTTGCTTCTGTTTGTGACTCTTTCCCTCGACCCCCCCCCCCCCCTCTTTTTAACTCTACATAACTCTTCTCCTAATTTAATGAACTAAACAAGCTTAAGCACATACGCATTACATGTTATCTTACTGTTATCCCCAAGGGCCCCCACTTCTTGAAGAACTGAAGGATTTAGACATTTTCATAGAATTTTGTCTGTCTCTGACTGTCTGTTTATGTCTCTGTCCCTTTCTCCTTAACCCATTAGCAACTAGAGATTTTGTAAAATTGGCCTATTACTCACTGGAAGATGTTGCAACATTGCTCTCATTTTGACATTGTTCTGAACAATATTAAACATGCGCTATTTTCTATGCAGAATCCTTCTGTAGACATCGTAAAGATTACGCACGTATAACATTATCACGGTAGACCCAAGAACGGATACTATAGCGCGTTGAAAACGGACGGGCGGTTTCGGGCGGTTCAGTGAGTAAAAGGAGGGGGGTTTGGGGCGGTTTAGTTGCAAATGGGTTAATGCTCTAAATGTCAAGACCCCCCCCCCCCCCTTCATCAAATTAAACATGCCAACTCATATTACATGCTACATTGATGAGATCCCCCTGCCCCCCCCCATCCCCTCCCCCTCCTTGAAGGGCATGAGGATTTACAAATGTTATCAGTTAAATTTTGGCCCAGATGCTTTCCTCAATGAGGACATTAAACGATATCTGTCTGTCTAATGATTTAATCTTCTTTTAGATCCCACTCTAATGTAGTCTCCTAATACCAAGCACTTCAAATCTCCTGCAAATACAACATTAAAGAATGAATTTGGAATGGATCAAAATTTGCTAGATTAGACCAAACATAATGAGTACACAAGCCATGCTGATAATACAAACATGTCAGTAGTAAATTGCAATAGATAGTTCTCCAATATCAGCTTACACATAGTTAAAGTTCTTTCTTTAAATGTATAAGCCTGCACAATTCAACTTCATTTAGATATTTCAAAATTTGGCAAGTGCAACAATATTTAACAGGGTCTCATTTTATAACAATTCAGTTCTTGTATAGCGCATATCACATTATATGGTCCCTATGCGCATCCAAATAGCTTTGGAAATGATTACCCTAGCTTTAGCTCCGGTAGCCATTATCAGCGCACAGTGCATGTCAAGGAATAATCCTACCAAGTACCCATTTACCTCACCTGGGTCGAGTGAGGCAAATGTAGATTAATGTCTTGCCAAAGAAAGAAATAATAGGTAAGAAGTAAAAGACAAACATTCTACAAACACACCTACTCTCAGCCCTCAAAAAAAAAGTTTACAAAAGCATTCTTCAAATCAATATTCCATAAAGCTTTTGCTCTCATAAAATATTATAAATAAAAAGAATTTTCCACCTCCTTCTAAATCTAGGAAACAAACCAGACCCCCCATTTCACACCAGTAGCTCAATTACTACTCCATCTTGCCACAGTACTGGGCAAGATGGTCCACGATCTGCAACAACATTAGGCAATAATTCCCACCCAGACACTGCAATTTAGGGGCAAATCTCCACGCTTACATTTGGGACGACAGTAATAGATAGGAGTAATAAAATGCATTAGCACTAGCCAGACATAACGAGACATGGGGGATGGCAACCGATGGGTAATGCTGTACAATCCGCAAGGAAGGTTGGGAACCAGAGGCTTGAGATGGCCTGTAATTCCAAACAGTCGTGAGAAGGGTTTACAACAAGTTATCTCCGCAGCTGTATGAAAGGTTTTTTTTGGTTGCATCTTCTCTGTCCTTGAAACAGATTTCCCAAGGCAACCAATGATATACAGCATCCAGTGTATTTTCAATGCCCACCAACACCACATAGCCTTTCATTTTTGTCAATGTATAAGGATATCAAATTAGTATTAAGAAAACTAATATGAAAACCATTATCTTTTCTACAACCAATTTTGTTAAATAATCCATGCCTATACCTTTCAAGGAAGTCACACATGTATTGGCAGAGAAATACAAATTGAACCAACTCAGTAATTCTTGCTTGTTATAAAACTCAATCAGTTTGATAATTTACTGATTATCTGGTTAATTCATAATTAATAAGTTAGTTAGTTACTTATTGTTTTATTATAGTTGTTGGTTAGCAGGCCAGAAGTTATACAGTCATTTAGTTTGCTTTTAATTAGTGTGATTGTTATATAAAGTGATAGAATTACAGTACATAATAATGACTTCTTTCAACTTTTCAACACTTTTAGATACTTACAGAAATCTAAGCTTGGGAGGAGCTGTACATCAATTAGTCGGTTGCTACTATCCTCAGGCAAGACCTCACTAGCACCAAAGCACGAGTCAACTCCACCTGCAGTACACAAAACAAAAATCACTGCTGAATTAACTTGTTAGGGGGCTGATATCACAATTTTCAAACTGGTAACACCTTGTGATGAAATTAATTTCTTTGCAAATTGGTATGTCTTTGATTATTTACATTTTCGTTTCTGATTCATATTCTACCACAGAGACATTTTTGAAAGAATACTATTGTTTGTTCGGGCCAGATCGACGGGCATCAACTCATATACTTCACCACAGAGTTAATGCCCTTTTGGCTCTGAACGGACAAAGACCTGGGGGGCGTTTCACAAAACTTGTCATCAGTGACAAATGACAGTTTTTGTTATAAGCTACAGAAATCCTTGCTTCTGATTGGTTATCAACAGATTTGTCACTGATTTTTGTCATTTGTCATTGAAAAAAGGCTTTGTGAAACGGGTCTCAGATATGTGTTTCAAAGCCCTCTCTAGATTAGTAATCATCATAGAGCTGTCTGGTTGCAGAGGTAAGAGTTACAATGTAGATGCAGGACACATTCACTGATCTATGTCAACCATGGATGAGAAAATGTAAACATGCCCAGCTTCCTGGAAAGATACTGTTCTTTGAGAGCTGATGATCATTGGACATTTGCCTGTTTAGAGAGGACAAACATGTAGTTAGGTGTAAAAGGATATAGTCAAAGATATATATGTCAACCCTGGTTTCAGATGTCAATGAACCACATCAGCTTATGATGACAAAGACAACACAACAGAGTGATCGAGGCCTGACTGAGTCAAAGACATCACTAAACAATGTCTCCTACAGTCATTCTAGAGGATTCTATGGGTGTCATCTTCAGGACTAGTAAGTAATCTTGACACAGTTTTCATGACGATGAGTGTAAAAGCCTAAAAGGGCACATTCCCCAATATGTATGTCAACCCTGGTTTCAGATGTCAATGAACCACACACCTTATAATGACAAAAACAACACAACCGAGTGATCAAGGCCTGACTGAGTCAAAGACATCACTAAACAATGTCTCCTAAAGTCATTCTAGAGGATTCTAGGGGTTTCATCTTTTGGACTAGTAAGCAATCTTGACACAGTTTTCATAAAGATGAGTGTAAAACGACACATTCCCAGATATGTATGTCAACCCTGGTTTCAGATGTCAATGAACCACATCAGCTTATAATGACAAAGACAACACAACAGAGTGATCGAGGCCTGACTGAGTCAAACACATCACTAAACAATGTCTCCACAGTCATTCTAGAGGATCCTATGGGTTTCATCTTTGGGACTAGTAAGCAATCTTGACACAGTTTTCATAAATATGAATCAGAGCCCCAGTTAACTAGACTTCTAGAAGGAAGGGGATATGGAAGTCATATCTCTTATATTTTTACGCTAATCTTTCTGTTCAGTCACTTTTCTATAGATAGTACGTCTCAGGAATCAGGATATGTTCTGTGTCTTTCCTCGCTTTGTGGAGGAATGTAGAATGAAGCTAAGCTTATTCAGGGTTAGTCACAAGTGGATCCTTAGGCAGGGGAGACTTATGATACATTCTACTGAATGATAAGGGATTACTCAAGAATTCATGAGCAAAATAATCACAAGATGTCCTCATGAGCCATACAAAGTAGTCTTGTTATAGATGAATCGGGCACTGTCAAATTAATTGCTTAAAAAGACTTTTCTTAATTTCTGATAAATTTTGAAACGATAATCATTTTCATGACAGAGAAATTATTGACTAAAATTAGTCCTAGTCCTAGTATTCACTAGTCATCTAGTTGTAGAGGGGATTAAGATTTATTCAACTATTTAACGGCACTTAAATTACGGTAATTTTATTTTGTCCTTTTCTTTAAACCAGTTTTTTAAAAGGTGAAGAAGTGATTAACAAACTATCGTTTTGTAGGAATAAACAGCATTGAACAATATTCCATATTATCAGCCCAGAGCCAGAAGGATGTTTAACATATATACTTAGCATCTTTTTGGTTCTCAAAAATGATATTATACATGTGAATGCTAAATGATTGTAAAGTGTTCATTATTATCATATGTTGGACAGATGATGATTTTAATGTATCAAGTTAAAAAACAAATCTTATCGAAAACAAGCTATCAATTTTATCAATAAAGCGTTGAACATACAAGATAAGAGTTTGCAGCATAATCAATCATGTCATACATGTAGCATTACGCCTCACCAATATCCTTTAATAGTTTACATTTTTGTCAAGAACTTGTTGTTATTTTATTCAATCTGTTTGTTGCGACTGCCTGTGTGGAATATGTCGCACATTATAAATGTCTGCATAATAATTTTTTCTCATTCTTTCATTTTCATTTATCAAACGCACATAGACAGACTGGTGAATTAAGTGCTATGAAAGCATAATTCGTTGTTATTATAAGAAATGTTATCATCATTATCATTAAGGCTGTGTATCAATTCTCTTGAGATCTCAAGCCTCGCTGTCACAGCGTTGCTGTCGACAGTCTCTGCATCATCTCTCTCTCACAACAATGCAAGTGTTAAGAAACATTGAGATTACCTGGATAATCTGCTGGATTAGCTAAGTAGGGGATTACTCACCCAGATCCCGCAGCATGAGGAGGAGTCTCTCGTTGGCCTTAGAGCTCGCGATGACGCAGCACGGCTGCAGCTGATGGCAGACTGGTGATGGGATATGGAAGATAGGATGGAGAGAGAAAAGGTAACCAAAGAGAAATTAAGCATTTGAGAAATGGATCGGGAGAGAATGCATATATATGGAAAGTGAAATAGATTTAAGAGAAGAGAGAGACAAGAGAGACATATATTCAGAGAGAAATAAAAAGAGAGAGATTGAGATAGATGACAAATTGAAGAGAGAGAGAGGAAGAGAGATAGAGAAAAGAGAGAGAGAGAGAGGGGAGGAGAGAGAATTAAAGAGTTTGAAAGCTTTGTCAGCTAACATGGTTTATCGGATCCTGTGATCACATTTTTCTTTTTAATGTAATCATAATGATCCACATAATACATTTTACTGACGTTATTACATGACAAGTTTGTTATCTGTTATACTCTTTCTTTTTCTCTTTACTCTAGCTCCCCCCCCCCCCCCCCTCCTCTCTCCCTTTCTCTCTCTTTCATATTACCCATTAGTTTATTTTACCCATCTTTCTGAATTGATTCCTCTAATTTCCTGTCAATGCATACATGTGTATAATTATGATAAATCGTAATTATTGCATATTTCTTCAAACACCTGAGACCTAAACATAGAAGATAATTGGACCAAGTTGTCAGGAATTACAATTATATTAAAGCATTCATTTTACAGCTCTTGTAATACAATGTCACACAGAAGAAATATACTGGCACAAAGAAACATAATATTATATTGGAAAGGTTCTATTATGTTTGAAGTAGACAGAGTTTCTACATCTTAGAAAAATAATGTTATTGCAGACAGCTAAAAGGATTTCCTTAATTGATAAAAGCATGTGATTGCTGTAATAACATGTCTATTTCCTAGTTTTCTAGAGTTCAAATCCTCTTGAATCAATAACGTTGGTATATGCAGATGAACTATTTTATTTTGGAGACATTTCCAGAAATTATTGTATTGTATTGTATTTATTTATTCATGGTAAAAACACACTATCGGTCAAAACAGATTGCTTTTCAGTGAGTCTGTGCATATTGTAAAAAACAAGTGAAATTAACACAATATCATTGATAAACAAATATAGAATAAATATAAATATCTACAAAAAAGTATTGAAAAAAAAAATGAAAATCACAAGAAGAGAATCAGAAACTATGTTTCATGAATAATCAGTTTAGGTTTACAACTTTCTAGAAATGTGGAGTTATTCAATGGCAGTTATCTAGGTATAAACCTCAACATGTCTTGGTGATCACTGGTAATAATAACTCATCATATTTTCACTCCTTACAATCAAACTGAATCATTCATAATATTTAGTTTGATGAAATATTTAAATATTACTATTTCTTTTCATGGTAGCTGTGATTGGTACAGCTTGATCCAACTCAATCATAGAACTTTTAAGTGTGAATCGGGTCAAAATGGTTCAACAGACAATAAGTACTTAATATAGAAAATTACCGAAAATGAGGATGCATGCCATTTTGAATAAAGATCGTTAACACCTTCCTGTCAACAGCAGACAGTTTCTTCCAGACTGAGAACTTCATCTGTTTTGTTAATCAAATCACAACTGCACAAAATCTATGCATGATTAATCAAAACAATGTCCTTGTTTGGAAGAAAATGTTCATCAACTTGATGACTCACAAATGAGAAGAGCACTTAACAACGGAATCTCTCAGAATCCAGGAAGTCCAAAGAGAAAGGTAGAAATTTATCCCACTTGCGATTCACTCTGTGAGGATGATCGAGAACCTCCATCTATTTGTTTCCTCAATGCACATTTCCTGACAATTGAGAAAGGTTGGGCAGTAATTAAATTCTGAAGATCACACACACTCTTATAATACAAATATTTTCTTGAACAGGGACACGTGAGATCCTTGAAGAGGATATAATGAATGGACAAGGATAAATGGCATATTCAGGATACACTTCACACATCTACTTCACGTCAATGATGCTACTTATCCAACCTGGTTATCCTTGTTTGGTAGGTATACCTCCACAAGGTAGGATACTTGCGACGATCACGAGTGCTTAATGATATAAATATGACACGAGTGTAGGAAGATAATTGATAAATAAGGGTTATCATAGCCTCTTCCTCTCATTTTCAACTCCTCCTGGTTTTGAAATTAAAATAATTAATGGTAATCCCCCCCCCCCCTCTCTCTCTCTCTCTGTCTCCTGTAGGTACATTTCTCTTTCTTTCTTTTTGTCTTTCTATCTATATTATATTTCTTTATCTCTCTCTTTCTTCTCTAGACCTATTTATCTATTTCTCTTTGTTTCTTTCTCTCGTTCTTTCCATCAATCCTGTATCTTTCTCTCTCTCTTCTTCTCTCTCCCCTCTATCTCTTTCTCTCTCTTCTTCTCTCTTGCATCGTTTTCAATACAAATGCATTTAAATTCTGTATTTTGAATAAAAAATGTAATTCCTTTTTGGGCATGTGATACTAGAATATTTCCTTATAAGGAGAGTGACGATGTAGATCGATTTCAAGGAAGTATTTACCATTTGCACATGTTCTTAATTAGCTGTGTTAGAACAATTATATTAATGAATAGGAATTTACACATGTTTAAATTTTAAAGGCATTTCCCTACATCTTGTATAAGCAAAATGCATCTCATATGATAGTGACACAATTCATCAGTAGAGTTGACAATTTGCCACCAAAATTTAATATCGTTTACCGGTATGCTTTTACTAGACATAAAAAAAAAAACTTGAATTTCTCCTTGGGAGTCAAAATGGACTATTTGATTTTGAAGCTGAATATCATGAAACAGTGTTTTAATCATTTTTTATATAAAATTGTATAAAAGAAAATTCATATCATAAAACCATCCAACCTATAAAATTGATGGAACATTCAGAGTTGGGGGGGGGGGGGGTATATCAAGTTTTCTTATCCTGTATCCAAAAACATGAAAAACTTGAAAAATGTATATGAGATTATTAACTGATATGAAGAATTTTCTATTACCGTAAATCTCCGTGTATAAGGCACACTTTTTTGCCGCCGGAAAAAATTGAAAGTCGGGGGTGCGCCTTATACACAGGTACAGATTTTTTTTTTTTTTTTTTTATTTTTTATTTATGGCGCTATGCCTGGCAATGTCTCTCAGCTCAGTAATCAGTGTGTTGACATACAACTCGGAAACTACAACAACATTAAAATTTGTCTGTCATCTTGGTTTGAAAGTTTTAGAGATATGAGTGTGAGGTATTGTGAATGGATATTTGAAAGCGTGTTCACTCGTCACACAACATAACTCTTATTTTTATTTTAGCTACGAGGAAGCAAGGTTGCACTGACAATAAAATACATGAAAGAAAGTATTCCCTTTTCGTTAATTTATTGGGTACTGAACAAAGCTGACAATGCACTTGCAAAGTGCAGTCAAGCAAAAGTAGCAGACTTGAAAATGTGAATATTGCACGTAGTTACATTATGATTAAGGATGAGAATGAACATGAATAAATGTGATGTACATAATGAATGAAAGCTTACGACAGAATAGAAAGGGCGTCGAAAGTCCAATGAAGATGAAGAGAGTTGAGAACGAAGGAAGGGGCTCACGCGATGATGTGCGGAGGCTTGAAGGCGGAGATGCAGCTTCGTTGTCGTGGCTGAAGAGCCGTGAAGAATCTCGACGCTGACGTCCGTGATGAAGATAGTGAAGAAGCTCTCAGGCGAGAAGAGAAGAGACGAGATGTGGCGCTCGACGACGGAACAGTGGGTCGTTCGATGTCGGGAGGCGAAGAGTAGAAACGTAGACATGCAAAGTCGGCACTGGTGCTGAGTAGTAATAGTTGCTCGTTTGATGCGCCGGACTTTGATGAAGAAATGTTTAGATGAGCTGCGGTGAAATGATGAGCTCGTGAGTGGAAAAAGCTACCGGAACGAAGAAACTGGCAGCTCCCAGCGGAGAGTCAGGCGCCATGTCGGTCCTGACTATAGCGTTCCACTGGGAGACTGCAGCCCGATGAACACGGCAGAAAAAGAGTTGACGTGCCGTAAAATAGATGACAGGCACAGAAGAATAGAGCCTGGAGAGGAAATTGCGGAGACGTCTTGACTCGACCAAGGTGAAAGCGGGAGTGGAGAAAAACCTCGTGGAGTTGAAAATACGCGGGGTGAACAGTGCGGAACCACGATGCGCGATTGGAAGGAAAAACACACGTGTTCCGAATAATGAATATAAATAAGTACCGCGATGGAAAAATACTGGAGACATGAATGTACGGCGAAAGTAGGGCGAATGTAAGTAGGGCGAATGTAAGAGCCGCTACATTACTCCCCTGCCAGAATTGAAGCTGTGTATGCAATACACAGATAAAAGGCGATAATATATAAATGAGCAAAGTACAAAATGTCACAAGAATCAATGGCTGATAAAAATGTAAAAGTGCATGTATTGTATAATATAGTGTATGCAGTAATTGACAACAGCCTAAGAAATGTACAAGCATGGCATGTTGAAAGAATGTAATACAACAAGCATGCACGGCTGTTTAGTTGCCATAAATAGACAGTAATGAATGACATGGTATGCATCGAATAACGTGTATAAATGCAAGAGCATAAAAAACAGTCGATACATAATCCAGAATGAAGACATTTTATAAAACATTGCTAAGTCCAAAAAGTCTGGGAATAATAAATTCGTACAACCAAGCTTCAAAGTAAACGAGGGGTCACCACTTTAGAGATAAAAGTGTGAGGTATTGTGAATGGATATTTGAAAGCGTGTTCACTCGTCACACAACATAACTCTTATTTTTATTTTAGCTACGAGGAAGCAAGGTTGCACTGACAATAAAATACATGAAAGAAAGTATTCCCTTTTCGTTAATTTATTGGGTACTGAACAAAGCTGACAATGCACTTGCAAAGTGCAGTCAAGCAAAAGTAGCAGACTTGAAAATGTGAATATTGCACGTAGTTACATTATGATTAAGGATGAGAATGAACATGAATAAATGTGATGTACATAATGAATGAAA